GTAAATCTATATTGCTTGTTTTATAGCGTATTTAACTTGATTTTTTTAGTTTTTATTTTATTTTAATTCATCTTTGTTTTTCTTAGCCAAATCAAACGTTTTGCATATGTCCAGTATATTGTGCTTTCTGTTTTTATTTTATTATTATATTATTTTTTGTTTGTTTTATTTCATTTCATTGCATCTATTTTTTTTTCAATTTATGATTAAAATTAGTATGCATTGTGAGTGCTGTTTTGTTCACCTGTGTTATTCATTTTTACTTTGTGTTTTATTTGGGGTTTTATTGTATCTTAAAATATTAGTTTACATATAATAAATAATTTAGATATAGTAATTATTAATTTCCATAATCCTATTTTATATTCAGATCTTAAAATATTAGTTTACTCACAACAGATGCTACTAATACATCTTAAATTACAGCTTATTGATCCCTGAACACTAATTCACCATCAGCATTAGATCCAAATTGACCTTTACCTGTTTTTTTATTTTCTAGTTATTTTTTTATTTATTATTTGTTTTATTATTTAATTTTCATTTACTATTTCAATTAAAATTTTCATCTTAAAATATTTATTTGCATACAACAGATGCTACTGATACATCTTAAATTACAGCTTATTGATCCTCGATCACAGAATCACCATCCGCATTAGATCCAAGCAGACTTTTTCCTTTTACCAATCCTGATCTCATAACACACAACCCTTCCCGCTTCTCCAGATGCAGTCAATCTGTGATCAATAAAACCAAACTTGTCTTTGCTCCCTGTAGAGAAGGGGTTGCAGACAGCCTTTAATGTTGACTTTAAGGACAGTGCAACCACATGGAAAGCTGCACAAAGAGATCCACAGAGTCCTGTTGAACATCTGCAGGATAATGTCACAAATATTGCAGTGCACACAATGAGCGCTCGCATGATCAGATGGGATAAGCCCTGCGCTTCTGCTGAATTATCAACTCTTTTCAGTGCCCTATTTTCAGATGTCCCGTATCAGGTTGCCAACGGGTCATCTGAGGTCATTTGCAGATCCTAAAACACCTGCCGGCTCCCCAGCTCATTCATTCCTCTTTAACCTTGACTAATACTGATTTTTTTTCTGGTAAATGCTGTATTTAGATATTAGCTGATTACTGATATATGATGCATTTTTTAACCTATTTATTTATTTATTGTTTTTTTTTTACAAATGCTTACAAATAAGTATCGAACAACACAAGCATCATAATTTTCAATGAGTGAAAAAAATTAAATAAAAAGTAATAAATATGGTTAAAAATGTATACACAAAACATGTAGACCTTATCTTTTAGATAAAGGTGTATATATATATATATATATATATATATATATATATATATATATATATATATGAAGTGAATTGAAGTCAGAATTATTAGCCCCCTTTTTTATTCATTTTTATTTTTTTTTTGTATTTCCCAAATGATGTTTAATAGAGCAAATATTTTTTCAAAGTATGTCTGAAAATATTTTTTCTTCTGGAGAAAGTCTGATTTGTTTTATTTCGATTAGAATAAAAGCAGTTTTTAATTCTTAGGCATCATTTTAAGGACAAAATTATTAGCCCGATAGTCTACAGAACAAACTATCATTATGAAATAACTTGCCTAATTACCCTAACCTGCCTAGTTAACCTAATTAACTTAGTTAAGCCTTTAAATGTCACTTTAAGCTGTATAGAAGTGTCTTGAAAAATATCTAGTCAAATATAACTTATATATATATATATAAGTTGGTGGTTCATTCCGCTGTGGTGACCCCTGGTTAATAAAGGGAATAAGCCAAAGGAAAATGAACGAATGAATGAATGAATTCCCAAAAGCCTTATCCCTGTTAAACAACATTATTTAGAGATGACTTCTTGGATTTACTCAATTTTCTTACGTTAAGTGGCTGTAAACAATTTATTTGGGCTGAATTTAAACAAACAAATTGAGTTGAATTTTATTACATTTATTTTGTTTGTTTAAATTCATCACAAAAAATTTTTTTTGCAACAGTTTTGCAGACATAATTTTTTTCTGTGCACCTGTATAAAATATAAAAGTAAAAAATATCATAATTATATTGTCTTCAACTAAAATCCTAATCAGTTTATATCATGTTTTCCTTTCGGCCTTTCTAAAACGCATCTTAATCCTCACATAAAATCAACAAAAGTGAAAATTTCACCCGACGTCACCTTTTATCTCAGCCATTTAGCCTGTTCATGTGAATCGCACACAAGTGTTCATAGTGAGTGAGGAGAGATTCTCATTCACGCTCTTGACCCCTCGACCCCTACGGGCTGCATTAAAAGCTCACAGAAGGGTTTCAGTCGCCACTTGGATTACGAGGCTGTTTGTAATTCCTAACGCAACATTCCTGCTTTCCTGCCTGTTTCCCCCTTTCCCTGCTGTCCTCAGCTCACACTGTGCGATTTTTAACACCCCTTTATGATTGTAGCTTATCAGACTGTACAAACACCATGTCACACTGGAAGAGTTCAGAAATCAGAAAGAGCTTTGTTGTCAGGTTTACACATGCAAGGAACTTGTTTCTGGGACAGCACGATAGCTCAGTGACAAGAAGGTACAAGAAGGTAGCTGGTTTGGGTCCCAGCTGGGCCAGTTGGCATTTCTGTGTGGAGTTTGGCCCTAAATTTGCTGTCGTGTATGAGTGTGTGTGTTTAAATGACTGTGTGTGGGTGTTTCCCAATACTGGGTTACGGCTGAAAGGGCATACGCATGCTAAAACATATTAACGTTTCATTCCGCTGTGGCGATCTCTGAAATATAGAGACTAAGCCAAAGGAATATGAAGGAATACAGTATATTTCTATATACAATATTGTATAGCTCTATTATGTGCAAATTAAAATCTTAACTATGTGTGTTGTTAAATAAATAGCTGTAGGTATGTATAAATAGTGTTTATTCCTTAATTATGATCAAGTGTCTATGAGATTGATTGCCTGAGGGGGGAAATAAATGATGTTATTATAGCTGATATTGTTGAGCTGTCATAATCTGACTGTATTAGTGCTTTAAAAGGAACACTCCACTTCTTTTTGGAAATATAGGCTTATATTTTACAACTGCCTGAGAAGTAAATAGTTGAGTTTTACCATTTTTGAATCCATTTAGCTGATCTCTGGGTCTGACAGTAGCACTTTTAGCTTAACCTAGCATAGATCATTCAATCAGATTAGACCGTTAGCATCTCAGAAATGACTAGAGAGATTTTAAGGATAATTTTCCTGTTTAAACCCTGACACTTCTGTAGTTACATTGTGTATTAAGACGGATAGAAAATGAAAAGTTGATATTTTTAGGCAGATATATGGCTAGGAACTGTACTCTTATTCTGGTGTACTTATCAAGAGACAAAAAATTTGCTAACTTCCATCAATACAACCAATATGGCTGTACAAAATGGCTGTTTAAATCACCAAATGGCCTAGGACCTCAAAACATTACAGATATGCTGACTGAATACAAACTTAACAGATCACTCAGATCTTTAGGATCGAGTCAATTATAAATTCCAAGAGTTCAAAGCAGAGTGAATCGACCTTCAGCTATTATGCCCCCCATAGCTGAATTTATCAGATGTTAGGACGGACCCCCTCATTTTGCCACTGTGTGTGAAATGCGGTATATAAAATAAACTTGCCTTGCCTTGCTTTTTTATTGACATTATGGTTCTTTCTAGTTTTTTTCTTCTCTTTAGTCATGCACAGAAGAGTTTATTGCATTACTTTAATTGTATATGTTACCGTGAAGATTTTTAGCAGTTTTAGTAGATTTGCTGATTTGCCATAAAATGTAGAAGTTTATTTCACGTTCCTTCCATATTGTTAACAGTTAAATTCTGGCATAGCACACTGCTACTTGTGTAATATCGCGTTTATACAACAGTTCGACGGCACAATCTTAACTGTACATAAAAAAGAAAATCAAACACAGAGAGTCTAAAACCTTTTTGTATTAGGAACTACTTTCTTCCGCCATTCATTCACATCTGCAGCTGACGTCAGAACAGCAGAAGCTGTTACTAATTCACCAACGTCACTTTAGAGCTAGTGTTTGAATGATTCTCTATAGCGTAATGTGAAGCGGCGCCTCTGGTGTGTGAGCCCCTTAAGGTGATGACAAAACAGCAAATTTTGCTCATATTTTAGGATTATAAAGCTGAACGTGACATGAAATGCCATCCGTCTACAGAGATTTCTCACCAGACTGCTGTTGTGTTTGCGATAAGGAGGGACGAGGCTGAATCCAGCTTCTTATTGACTCTATCCGGTCCACCTTAAAAACCACGAGGCTTACATTTTTCAGCTTTTTATTTGTGCTCAAGAGAACACACTGAGCAAGGGCTTATTATAATAAGGGCTTATTAAGGTCTTTGACCGCCTACGAGCTTTCAGAAATTGTAAATATTTTAAAATAAGCACAATTCTTACAAATAAACTGCATAGTTGCAATCTAAACAACTACATTATTGACTAAAAAAGCCTCAAAAGTACATTTTGTTGTCTAACAACAGTAATATTTGTTAAACTGCTTGTTGCTTGCTGTATGTGGGCGGAGTAATACACAGAGGTGAAGGGTGAAGAGGCCTTTTTTTGATGTTACTGGCAAAATATTGCACGACTATCAGCCAATCAGATTCAAGAACCAGACAGAGCTGTTTTTTTTTTTTTACAGTGCATCAATTCAGCATCGATATCGCCATGTGTCCACTAGGATGCGCAATATAGAGTAGGCATTATACATGAGCGAAACCACAGTTTGAAACCCATGTAATCTGTAGCTTAACTGTAAAGTTTACCCATTTGGAATTAAAGTTCATAACGTGTGTGTGTTTTTCCAGAGCTTGCTCTTTCTCCAAGCTGCAGCATTTGTAATCTCTGCTAGATGTTTTGAGCTTTAACTGTTTTCCTGCTCCAGGATGTTTTGTGACCTCAGTGTTTCCTTCTTGTCCTCCACAGGTACGACTATAAAGAAATGCTGCACAACTCCACATTCTGTCTGGTGCCGAGAGGACGACGCCTGGGCTCTTTCCGCTTCCTGGAGGCTCTGCAGGTACACTTTTACAGTCCAATTTTGTTGCTAATTACAGGCTGTTACTGTTAAGCAACATGACAGATGACAAATGTAATGATTTGCCACAATATTTCTGTCTTTACTGTATTTTTATTAGGCAAGACAGGTTGATTTGTATAGCCCATTTCATACACAATGCCAATTCAAAGTGCTTTACATAATCAGATTAAGAGAATCAATAAATAATCGCACGACAAGTAAAAGGAATAAAAACAACGAATAATTAATATGATTAAAAACAGATTTAACATATTAATATTGAATAACTGCAGCCTTGATTAGAGTTAGAGAATATTCAACATATTTTCTACATAAAGTATTTGAACAAAAATAAAATATATATTGTGAAATATTATTTTAATTCTTATTAATTAGTATTCACTGTGTTAGTGGATTTTTATTCAAATAAATACAGCTTTGGGGGAAGCTCGGTGACGCTGTGGGTAGCACAATCACCTCAAAGCATTAAGGTTGCTGGTTTGAGCCCCAGCCGGGTCAGTTGGCGTTTCTGTGGGAGTTTGTTTGTTCTTCCTGTGTTTGTGTGGGTTTCCTCTGGGTGCTCCGGTTTCCCCTACAAGTCCCAAGACATGTGGTATAGGTGAATTGGGTAAGATAAATTGTCTGTAGTGTATGTGTGTAAATGAGTGTGTATGGATGCTTTCCAGTGATGGGTTGCAGCAGGAAGGGCATCCGCGGTGTAAAACATATGCTGTATAAGTTGGGGGTTCATTCCACTGTGGCGACCCCAGATTAATAAAGGGACTGAGCCGAAAAGAAAAACAATGAATGAATGAATGAATGAATGACTGCAGCTTTGCAAATGCAAATATTAATTTAAAACAATAATTAATTAGGATTCATTACAATTTTAAATAACACAATTTAATTGTATTATATATATATATATATATATATATATATATATATATATATATATATATATATATATATATATATATTTATGTGTTATATTTAAAGTGTAATTTATTTCCTCTAGAATTTTTAGCATAATTCAATATTAAGTGTCACATGATCTTTCAGAAATAGTTCAAAAATGAAGATTTGATGTGAATTATTATTATTATTATTATTATTATTATTATTATTATTATTATTATTATATAAATTATTTTTGTGTTAAATATTTCTTGATGGTAAAGAAATGTAATCTTGAAGATAATAAAAACAAACAAAAATATTTGTTAAAAATCTGACCTGAAAGCTTGAACTTAAATACAGTAAATAAAAGCAGAAATCGTCTGTAATGCCGTTGCAATTTAAAAATCACTAAATTCTGCTCAATTGTATTTTAAATAAGAATGTAGAAGTATTAGCATCATTATTTCATATTGTCCTTCAGAAGTCATTATACAATGTTAATTTTTGCTAATTATCTTTAAATTCTCTTAAATTTGGCATTAAAAAATAACAAATTCTACAGGAACACGAAATTAAACAGATAAAACAGAACATTTCATGCAATAATATTTCACAGTATTACTGTTTTGTAATTTACAGTTGTAGTCAAAATTATTCACCCTTCTGTGATTTTCTTTTTCAAATATTTCCCAAATGATGTTTAACAGAGAAGGATTTTTTTAAAGAGCCCATATTATACATGAAATAGGGTCATATCTTGGTTGTAAGGGTCTCCAACAACAGTTTAATATGCATGCAAGGTCAAAAAAACACTTTCATGGTCTTATAATCTGCATTTATTTTTACCTAATTATCCCAGCGACTCCTGTATGAATCGTCCAGTGATTCATTTGTTCCCAAACCCCTCCTTAGCGCGAAGCTAATCTGCGCTGATTGGACCAATGACAGCTTGTTGCGATTGGTCGACTGCCTTCAGTCAGAGAGTGAAATGTCCAACAGCTAATCAGCAATATAAAAATAATCACAGTTCATACACGCTCGATAGTGTAGGCGTGGAGTTTAGCTGCCAGTGGGTCAATGTAAATACAGACTATGGACTTGAAAATTCAGACGACTGACTATTTTATTGAGCAAAAACTCCAAAAACAGTTGAGAAGATCTCGTAGCTTCTCACTCTGCTCTTTTCACAGACACACACACACATATTGCACACACACACACGCACTTAACCCTGCTCCGGACGACAACGCGCACGCGCGCACACACACACACACAAACACACACACCTCCGGACGACAGCGCGCGCACACGCACACACAGACACACACACTTCTCCTCGTCCACGGAGCTCCATTAACAAAGCAGCACGCGTCGCGTTTTTAACGTGACTTTGCACGCGATAAGAGAATATAGCCAGTTAACCTGATACAGTACACGCGGTTACAAGTAACAAATCACAACTAAACACATTTGCAAGCTAGAGTAAACGAGGCAACTTTAATCGCACGTACTTACACTTGAGAAATGGAGGAAGAAAAATCCATCCTGACGTCCATCAGTAAGTTACTCTTTACTGATCCTTCCTTTAACAAACGCTGATGAAGTATTCTTTGTAGCATGTAGTTTCCAGAAGTTTCCAGTAGTTTCCAACTGCTTGGCTATAATGCTGAGGTTTCATCTTTGGGTAGAGACTCAATATATCCATCTGCAGTGTGACTTCAATCGACCGGCATGTTTGTGTGTGCTTGTGTTTGTGTGTGTGTGTGTGTGTGTGTGTGTGTCTGGGTTTCTGCGTCAGAGGGCGGGGCCTCAGGTTTGAAATCTCCCGGGTTTGCGCGTGCACGTGAATAACTTGGTTTCGTTCGTACGTCATGGCGAAACACCTAATGAATCGTGATCAAGGCGACTCGTTTGAAGCACTATGAGTCGACTCTTTTATAGATGAATCAACAGTTTTAAACACTGTATTCTTACCGATTTAAACCTTAGCTGGATACTTTACTTTACTTAGAGCTGTGTTACACACTACATGGAGGGGAATTTTCAAAAACCCATAATATGGGCTCTTTAATAGTATTTCCTATAATATTTTTTCTTCTGGAGAAAGTTTTATTTCAGCTAGAATAAAAGCCGATTTTTCTTCTTTTTTTTTAAACTATTTTATGGTCAATATTATTACTTCCCTTAAGCAATATTTACTTAAGCGAAATCCACTGATTTACCTAATAACACTACCTTGCCTAAATAACCTAGTTAAGCCTTTAAATGTCTCTTTAAGCTGAATACTAGTATCTTGAAAAATATATACACTACCTGACAAAAGTCTTGTCGCCTGTCAAAGTTTTAGGAACAACAAATAACAACTTGACTTCGAGTTGATCATTTGTTATCAGAAGTGGCTTATATGAAAGGAAAAGGCCTCTAGATTACACTTATTTTACCAAAATAAAATATGATCATGCCTTGGTCTTAACTTTACTTTACTTTACTTTACTTAACTTTACTTTACTTTACTTTACTTTCTTTATTGTTATATATAAAGTGGAAATTTATCTTTGGCTTCACCTCACAACCACATCAGCATTCACATCACAGAAAAACAGCCAACACAAATACATTCAATGTCATTAAAAACTCAATTTAAAACCCTATACATGCTTAGAACCCAGTATTTAAAATTCTAATGGCAGTCGGCACAAAAGACATTTAATACACATTTCTCCTTACTCCTTTAATGGCAAGAGCTGAAATTTAATATTTAAGGGCTGGTAACAATCTTCAATAATTCTGTGTGCTTTCTGTTTAATTCTCATTGATTATTAATGACTGATTGATTTCATTTGGTTGTCTTTGTGCTTTACCGACAATTGCACTGGCAATTTTTACTACTCGACTTAGACAAAAGTCTTGTCACTTAACAGAAATAATGTACAGCATAGAATATAAAGTCATGGTGCAGTGGAAAAAGAATGAATATTGTGTGTGACTCCCATGAGCTTGGAGGACCGCATCCATACATCTCTGCAATGACTCAAATCACTTATCAATAAAGTCATTCGGAATGCCAGAGAAAGCGTTCCTGCAGGACTCCCAGAGTTCATCAAGATTCTTTAGATTCATCTTCAATGCCTCCTCCATCTTACTCCAGACATGCTCAATAATGTTCATATCTGTTGACTGGGCAGGCCAATTCTGGAGCACCTTGACCTTTGCTTTTTTTTAGGAGCTTTGATGTGGAGGCTGAAGTATGAGGAGTGCTGTCCTGCTGAAGAACTTGCCCTGTACTGTGGTTTATAATGTAATGGGCAGCACAAATGTCTTGATACCTCAGGCTGTTGATGTTGCCATTGAAGAAGATTTTATTCTCTCTGTATGAAGTATTTTCTAAGTGTAAAGCAGTTAATTTTCTCTTCACAAAATGTATGTAGTGTTTGCAGCAAACTTGCCAGCCTGTGTTAAAAATACAGTGATATGTCTGTGTAAGATGAGTATGCCTGCGCAGAAGCAACACTAGAAGGTTATATATGTTAAATACTTGTATGAAGCTATGTGTCAGAAGTTAGAATGAGTAACATATTATCAAGTGATTATGCTTTCATGAGAATGTATGTAAACACTTAGTTCCTTTGCATAAGTTGCATCTTTACTTTGCTGACATAGACCTGTAACATCTCTGTTGACATGAGCTAGTGGGCTGAGAGCCAAGAATAGCAGGACCCCTTAGACTAGAAAACCTATTCAAAAATGGTCAAAAGTTAAAAAGAGACACATAGGGGTGTGTCAAAAACATAAATAAAGGAGAAGGTGCAGGAGAGACTTTAGAAGGTGTCCAGGAGAGACTTCAGAATGCTCTGGGGTCTGCTCTGCTCTTTCTCGGCTTTATTATGAAGAATAAAGTCTATTTTCTGATATTCAAAACCTCCAGTCTGATAATTTCTAATTGATAAGAAGTCGAATTACGACACCATCCACTCTGCAGATCTCTCGCACGCCCCCATACTGAATGCAACCCAAAAACCATGATTTGTCCTTCACCAAATTGTGAGAATCTTGGGTCCATGCGGGTTCCATTAGGTCTTCTGCAGTATTTGTGATGTTTG